CATGGAGCTGGTAATATCAGCTGCAGAGCATTCAAGCGCACCAAGCTAGAAGGTTGTCCTCAATCTGGACACTGAGGTCCAGCGCCGAGGGCCTTCTGGCAGTTCCCTCACTGCGAAAAGTGAGGTTACAGGGAACCAGGCAGAGGGCCTTCTCGGCAGTGGCACCCGCCCTGTGGAACACCCTCCCATCAGATGTCAAGGAAATAAACAACCATCTGACTTTTAGAAGACATCTGAAGGCAGCCCTGTTTAGGGAAGTTTTTAATGTTTGAAGTTTTATTCTGTTTTTAGTGTTCTGTTGGGAGCCACCCAGAGTGGCTGGGGAAACCCAGCCAGATGGGCGGGATATAAATAATAAAATAATAATAATAATAATAATAATAATAATAATTATTATTATTATTATTATTATTCTCCCTCCAAGGAAACTGTTGGTGTTTCAAAAAGCTGCGCCCTTGCCCTATTCCTCAGGCACTGGCAGAGCTGTGGAGTCTCCAGCTCAAGAGTGCTGGGATCTCTTGAGGAGTTGTTCTCAGAGTCAGAAGACGTGCAGGCAACCACCATAAGCAATGGACAGCAGTCAGAAGAGAATGAGAAGCCATGAACCAGAAGTCCAGACTGAAGAGTGCTCAAGATCTGAGGGCAAGCCAGAAGGTGGGACTTGAGAACAAGGACTGAAGGCCAGCCAGAAAAACAAGACACACCAGAAGTCAGGTAGACATCATTGCTCAAGAAAAGTTCCATTGAGAACAGCAAAGGCAAATTTTACCTTTGTACAATCTATGCTCACACAGCCCTCTCTACCCTCCATCCTGGAAAACAAGAAGTTAAAGGGCACATTCCAGCCAAGCACTTGGAATGTGAATCCAGGCCACTGAGGGGTGTGTCCTAAAAAGAGGAGGCGTGGCCTGTGGAGAGGGCCTACCATGTATAAGACAATATTTTTTCCTTAGAAATAATAGGCAAAAATGGTGGGTCGTCTTATACACGGATACCAGAGGGGGGACGGGCGATTGGTGGCAACAGCCAGCAGGAGATTGTCAGCAGCGATTGGCGTGTGATTGGTTGCTGCAGCAAGGCCTGCTGATGAATGGCTGTGGCTGCAGCAATTGGGCGGGCTATTTACGTCAGCGGCAAGTCGTGCATGCAGTCGGCTGTGGTTGTGTCAAGCGTGCAGGTGGGCTTTTGGCTGCGTACATTCATACGATTGGTGGCCGCGGTGATGCATGCAATTTGCACTGGCGGGCAGACTGTAGAGCGATTGGTCCCGGTGACACCCTCCCCCCCCCCCGAAAAGCTCAACAACTTTGGGCAATCCCCCCCCCAAAAAATAAAATTATTTTTTGCTGCGATCCAAAAACATAGGTGTCGTCTTATACACGGGGGCGTGTTATACATGGAAAAATACGGTATATTAAAAATAGAGGAAAGTATCTGACTTTAGAAATCAGAAATGTAAGCATTATAAATGAAGCAAGAAGGCACGTATTACTTTTCTTATTGTGCACTTTCTACCAAACCAGGGACAAGCAAGTCACAGGTTCTAGGAACCCGAAGATTCTCACTGTCATTATTATCATCCACAGAACTCATAGATGATTTTGTACTCCTTCTTCATGTCCTTCAACTACAATGGTTCAGTCCTCAGTTATGAATATTCATGACTCTAATAGCTTAAAACATGGGTTCTTAACCTATGGTCCATGGGTGCCTGGGGGCACAAAACTGGGACCTTTTTTCCTTTTCTTTTCTTTTTACCCCATTGCAATACAACTAATAGTATGCAAAATTCTGTATGAATGTACTCATGTAGATTTCCCCCCATAGGAAGTGGGTTTAGTTTTCATCAGATTCTCAAAGTGGTCTGTGTCCCAAACCAATATAAGAACCACTGAATTAAAATATTTCACGTATACTTTCCATATCACTAGGAACACTCTTTTATCTAAAAACTATCAGCACGAAATGTACGGAAAGACCTGGAAACTTACAGACCAGTTCAGTCCTTGTTTACTCGGAAGTAAGTCTCACTTTGTGCTATGGGACATTTACAGATGAGAGTGCCTACTACTGCAACCTCATAAGTAAGTGTTCTTGCTTAATGTTTGCATACGAAGATAGAAAGAGCCAAGACGACTGTTCTCTAAGCAGACACAATTCTGCAGTGCAAAAAAAGCATGTAGGTTATGGTTTAATGGTGTAATAAAGGTTCCATTTAGTTGCAAGCCAATATGTCTTAATTGTATGTGGCCATGGGCTACTCTACATGCCTGTTCAAGAAATATATGAATGCCCGAATGGGATATTTGATTTACATCAGTTATTTAAGTTGGCTTAATTTAAATCACCATGTATTGTGTTTCAGCTGAGTTCAGGTGTTTACGATTGCTCTGCGGTGGATAATTGCACATCATCACTTGGCGCAATGGTCACATAGGTGAGTTGGCCATAAAATGCACATCTGATCCACCCACATGCTCTTTGTGCCACACACAAATGCTACTGAGATGTGCTTTTCACATTACAGCAGCCCTAGATCCATCCCATGGGGCAGCTGCAACGTTTAAGGGCTTGAAACCAGGTGGTCAGGACAAAATGTGAGGGTTGCTGCTCATACAAAATTGGCACTGCGGGGTAAAATGTGGCCCCCATGTTGGTGCTGTTACACCACCTGACGCAGGGCAAATGACAGAAAATGAATTTATAATTTCCAGTCAATGTAAGATTGCATTACATTACACTGCGTTATAGGTTATTCATGAAAATGTTTTCCAGGTCCAGGTCTGACAGCTTTATTTTTTTCTTTTTTGCACTGGTGCAGCCATGAAATCCCACTCTTTGCCACTGGTGCAGCTGCAGAAAACCCAAATTGCTGTATGCTCTGATTCAGTACTAAAGAGCAGTTTTTCCTGGGGAAAGTGGTGGGCAAACAGTGCTCTGGGACAGGCCTGGAAAGCTCAGACCTTGTGCCTATAATGTGTGGGGCAAAAACGTGGCTGAGCCCTAAGTTACTACAGATCCTGACTGATCCCTCTGTGAAATTATTTCTCCCGGTAATCATAGGGAAGAAAACTGAAGCTCTTATACTATACTATTCTATACTTCTGTAAAGCGCTTTGTGAATTGACGGCACTATATCAAGAAGCAAAACAGCCCTCCTCTTCAGATATACAGGATAGAGGCATAGTTGTGTTAGTCTCTTGTGCAAAAACCACGAGTCCTCTGGCACCTTAAAAGCCAACATTGATTGTCACATAAAACTTTTGCTACAAGGAAAGCCTTTAAGGTGCCACAGGACTCTTGTTGCTTCCACACAAATATATAGCTACACTCGAGGAATGGAAAATAGGTGGCAGAAAAAAGAATCCCTTTTTCTTTGTAGTGCCAAGAAGCAACCCAATAAAAAACCCGGTATCTTTTTCCTTCCCTAGCCCACAACCAAGGACGTCTACTCTCCTTACGCATGTGAACGTTTATCTTGTGACGAACGGGATTTTTTTAGGCTCAGACACACACAGTCCATTAATACGTCTTGCATTTCTCCTCCCCGCCCCGTCCTTGTTGGAATCAACCTTGGTCTGAAAGGCATGCTTTTAAATCTTATTTCTTAAACAAAACAAAAACAAAAAAACTGTTGCAGGTCTACAGATTCTTCGCCTCCCGCCGCCCGACAGCCACCTTGGTATTTTGCAGGTCTCTTGTTCACACGCACCTGCAATTATCCTGAATTATACTATGGCGAGGGGGAGGCGGGGGATGCTGAAGGGTGGAGGAGGCTTGCTGCAAAAGAAGCAGCCATCCCTCCTCCATCCTCCAAGAACCACATCATTCCAGCTTCTCCCACCCCCCCATCCCCATTCTCCTTTCCCCCTCCAACCAGTAGGGACCCAGGTTGCCACCACGTGAGCATCTGCCTGGCCCGGCCCTCCTCTTCTTGCGGATACAGAATAGTAGGCGGGCTTTAACCGGGTTTTTTTTTCTCTCCTCCTCCGCCTCCCTCTCCGCCTCCCCCCCCCCCCGCAATGTCAGATCCGCTGCAGAGTCGCGGGGCAGCCTGCAAGGCAGAAGGAGGCGCCGCGCGCAGCTGACGGGGGCTCCCCAAAAGCCTGCAGCCGCGAGGAGGCGAGCGGAAGGTCAGCGCCCTCGCTTCGCCGGCGTGGGGGTGGGGGGTCGCCTTGGCTGGGGAGGGGGGAGCCGTCTCCATCTTCTCCCCCACCGGTGCGCCCGAACGGCTTCGCTCCAGTATTAGCCTCGCCTGCGCCGGATCCCCGGCCGGAGAAAAGACCGAAGCGGAGGGTTCCTGCTTGCAAAGCAGCCGGGGAAAAAACGGAGAGGAAAGTCAGACGGTGGGTAGTAGGGGGGGTGGGAATTAATTGCAAAATAAACGCATGCGGCAGAGCCACCATCTCACCTCGCTGTGGAGGAAAAAAAACTGGGTGAAAGAAGACACCCCCCTCCCCAAGAGCAAGCCCGGCTGGATCCCATTGTGTGCGCGCGCGCGCGTGGTTTAGTCGATCGGAGCTGAAGGTTATTGTGGAAGGAAGCGGCCTCCTGCAGCAGCAGCGTGTCGTCGGGAGTGGGCGGAGGGAGCCGGGGTGGCGGCGCTTTCCAACGTGGGATTCCATGGCTCTGGCGGCGGAGCTCTGGTGACCCGGGGAGAAGCGGCTCGACTGCGGCAATGCTGCCAGCAGCAGCAGCAGCACCGACGGCTCTGCTGAGAGGAGGCGCCTGAGCAGCTGCGGCGGAGGCGAGGGCAGGCGGCAGGATCCGGCCACATCCACCCTTCCCCCGCTGCCTTTTCTGTTTCCTCCCGCCGCCCCTCCGAACGGATTCTCCCCACTCCACAAACCTCTGCCCACCGTTTGCGCTCTGCTCGCCACCCGAGGGGAGGCGAGGCGTGCGCGGCTTGGCTTGCCTAGCCCGGGCAGGTAGCGGGTCTCTGCGTCCTCCTTTTGCCCTCCTTCCCTCCGACGACCCCCTCGGCCAAAGCCCTTGGGAGCATGGCTACCCTGCTGCGGAAAATCGGGCTCATCCGGATCCACAACAGGGACACCGAGGACCCCAAGCATCACCACCACCACCATCACCACCACCGTCGCGGCAGCATCCAGCAAGGCTCCTCGCTGCGGGGCAAAAGCAACCAGAAGAATAAGCAGCAGCAGCAGCAGCTGCAAGGCACGCCGGCCAGCGGCTGCGGGAGCCCCGGCAAGGAGAGCTGCAGCAGCAGCCGAGGCAGCAGCCCCGCGCGCAACAAGCCCAAGAAGGTGCTGGAAGTGGCCAAGCAGCAGCAACAGGCGAGCCCCGACGGCGCGCCAGAGAAAGCGCAGCAGCAGCAGCAGCAGCGCGACGCCAAGGAGGCTGGCTCGGGCAAGGACCCGGCGTCGGGGGGCAGTGTTGGGCGCTCCAGCACCCCGGCCTTGGTGCCGCCGTCGCTGGTGCCAGCCAGCCGGCAGGCGCACTGCACGCAAGTGCGCACCCGACGGCTGATGAAGGAGCTGCAGGACATCGCGCGCTTGAGCGACCGCTTCATCTCGGTGGAGCTGGTGGACGAGAGCCTCTTCGACTGGAACGTGAAGCTGCACCAAGTGGACAAGGACTCGGTGCTGTGGCAGGACATGAAGGAGACCAACACTGAGTACATCTTGCTCAACCTCACCTTCCCGGACAACTTCCCCTTCGCGCCGCCCTTCATGCGGGTGCTCAGCCCACGCCTGGAGAACGGCTACGTCCTGGACGGCGGCGCCATCTGCATGGAGCTCCTCACCCCCCGGGGCTGGTCCAGCGCCTACACCGTCGAGGCCGTCATGCGCCAGTTTGCTGCCAGCCTTGTCAAAGGGCAGGTAAGGAAGGAAGGGGCTCCTGGTGGGGGGGGGGAGTCTTGGGTGGGGGCTCTCTAGGCTGAGAAGCAGTGGGTCCTGGCCCACTGAGAGGCCTTGGGTGGCACCCAGCCTGGCTGTGGTTGAAACAGCCCTGAACCTCTCCCCCCTGCTAATATTTGGCCAGCTGGCTCCCTCTGTGACTCTGGTCCCTTTCTCTCGCTGAGCTTTGGCGTTGTTCTGGAGCAAAGGCCTAGGCTTGGCTCAAATCCATCTCCTCCTGCGCTGCCATTTTGCTGCACTGCATTAGCCACGTGGCTGAATACCAAACCACACATGATGTGGGCGATCTGTGACTTCCCAACTTTTGCCTCTTAGATATTAAAGGAGGTGTAAGGGGCTAAAAAATTGGTCAGAGGAGCACCACTTATCCAAGTCCCTCCTGTCTTGTTCGGTTGTTTCTTCTTAAAAGGACGTGCAGACACAACTATCCCATGCTGTGCGCCTTATTCAAGAGATCCCTTACAAAAGGGGTAGCCAATGCTCTCCAGATGTTGGAATTCCAACGCCCAGCAGCCCTTTCCTCCCAGAGTTTTAGTCCTGCAACACCTGGAGAGCAGCAGATTGGTTATTTCATACCTTATAGTGTCTCAGAGGATGCTGGAGTGCACCTCTGGGATGATGCTCAGTTGTCCCCAGCATCCTCTGCTGGAATACTGGTGAGGATACTGGGATGCCCATCTTGGGCCACACACTGTTTCAAGAGCACTTACAAAAAATATTTCTGGACCTCAAACAAGCCCTGCCCACCCCACTCCCCCAAAGGGTGTGTAGAAAACCTTTTGCCAAACTCTAGCGCTGGCGGGGGGGGGGGGGGGCAGGCAGGCATCCTAACCACTTTCTCAAAGATGGGGGAGGTGGTTCTGGCCCCCAAATCTTTGTGTAAATGGAAGAGGATGACTGCTCTGTAGTATTCTGTGGGCTGAGTAGGAGAGATTCGTATTCTAAGAGGCTCTGTAGAATCCAGCGGTCAGCAACCCAACACGGTGTAAGCGACCCTTTGCAGGCCACAGAAGGTGCTCAGGAGTGCCCCACAAAAGGTGACTTTGGAGAGCAGACATGCAAAGCCAAGATTTATAAAATTCAGAATTATCTGGAGAGAGTGAGTAAAACTGAGTTATTCTCCCTCTCCCAGAACTGGAACTTTTGAGTCATCCAGTGACAAATTGACTGGCAGAAGAATTTTGTCATATAGAACAGTAACGTAGGCAGTCCCTTGCTACAAGATGACACGATAGCGACTACGGTACATCTGTTGGCTAAAAAGGGAAATACAGCACATTGATGGAGACCAAGTATGCCAGTGACTAAGAGTCAGATTCTGGGAGCAATTAATTCCAGGACTGGCTGGTCAAGTGCTCACACAAATGGAGGCACAGTGTGTTCTTTGCTCTGATCCAGAAAAGCATTTTTGATGTTTTAAAGCGGTCTCACAGCCTGACACAGCTATCTATATTGCGGTGCTGCGTGGAGATGGTGATGTTATGAAATGAAGCCTATGGCTTCAAAGGAGAGCCTCTGCAGCCCCGCTTAAGATTGTACGGATATGTGAGACAAAGCAAGGAGCACCACAGTTCTTGTGTATAATAAACCCCAAGCTCTTGAGGTGTCTGCTGAAATGAATGGGTATCAACTGAAGCCTAAGCTAGATAAAGCTACCACCTTGCCAGATCTAAGCTGCCTCCCCAGTCCAGCCTTCTGGCTCTTTGTAATCTTGACTAAATATGCAGGAGACCCCTTTTATATATATTTGTCTCCCTGTTTATGTATAATCACATATATGTTTCATGTATATCTATATGTGCAACCCAATCCTATGCATATACATTTGGATGAGTTTAGTGGGATTTACACCCAAGTAAGCAGGGATAGGATTGCAACCAAAGTCAGATATACGGTCTTCAAAACAGAGACAGCAACAATTCCTCTGCTATGTTGTTTCATGAAAAATGTTTTTGGGATGTGGTGGGAAGGGATTTTGGTAAGAAAATCCACGCACTCATTTATTTCTTTTTTTTAAAAAGTTGCTGTAATAGGTGTACCTGCTTTGGCTAGCTCCCAGTGAATGGCCTCAAGATCTTAATGTGCTTTGTATCCCATCCTCCCCTGAAAACGTGCGCTGTGGTCACAGACCAATGCAAAATTTGTATTGCTTTTAAATGTTTTTCTGTCGTCGTATGTCATCCTGATGTTCTGCGAGACGGCGGTGTATAAATCCGTCTATAAATATATTTTTTTATTAATCACTCTGTCATAAATTAAATTTGGTATTGACTAATGGTTACAAACCCATATTTCCAGGTAATGGTTTTAAACAACTGCGTATTGCAATGCACTTATGCAGGTTGTAGATCTTTCTTGAGCCTCCTCCTGCTTTCCAAACATCAGTATCACTAAGCAAGACAGACAGGACAATGCCCTTTGGAACATCCTTAGCTGTTTGGGTTGCAGTCTGGTGGGAAGTTCTGTGCAAACCCCATTGAAATGAAGGCATTGTGCAGATCTTGTTCACTTCGGTGGGCTTTGAGCATGATAGTATCCTTTCATTTTTGCACCTTTCATTTTTTCTTTTTAATAGCTCCAGCATAGGCATTGGATGTGTTCCTCTTCAGTGTTAACCTCCAAAGACTCCTCCCACCCCCAAATGCAGAATGTACATATACATAGATAAATTAAAACAGATTTGAAAACTAAGTAAAAAAATCAACACACACACACACACCCAACTTTAAAAAATAAATAAATAATAATAGCTTGGTGGAAGTTAACTCTGAATACCAGCATGTTAAACCAATACTTACAGCCTCCTAGAACTGAATTTTTTTTTTGTGTGTGTGTGTGTGTGTATGGGGGTTATCTGAACAAGTCATACTCTAGAGTAAACCCATTGAAAGCAATGGAACATGAGTCCATTTATTTCAATGGGTCTTCTCCGTTTGACTTAGTCAGGTGTCACCCACTGAGTTAAATACCGCTTCTCCGTGTGGCCATGGGGAAAATATGTTTTGAGGATAGAAATGACATAATTGTGGCACGATAGGACACATACTGTATTCTTATGATGGGTTTGAGACAGGTGCCCTTGGCTTCGCCAGTTATCACAGATATTGGAATCCAGCTCTTGGTTCCAAGAGATGCCATCCCATATATTACTAAGAGCAGACTATGTCTACCTGGGTGATCTTGTATAATCCTATTTTTTTCACTAGCTGAGCTTTTCAGTTTGCTTCATTCTCGAATTATGAATCCTTGTTTAGAAGTTTTAAGGGCAGTCTTGAGGACTAAGTGGCTGTTATAACTGAAAAGGTTATGTAAGGTTTGGGCTTTATATATCCACTTCATTTCTTTGGAATATCTATATCTCACCTTTTGAGTGAATTATCCTCAAGCTGGCTTACAACAGACTGCAGCAGTGCACACCTGTGTAAACACTCAGCCCAAGCTCACACAACCCAACATCATCCCTTAGTCCGCCTGGTCAACTGATGGGGCCAGAGTGTGCTTCCTTCGACTCTGCAGTTCCAGGGCAACTGGCAGGCAGGGGTTAAAGAATCTCACTTCACCTGCTTCTTCTGTGATGGATGGATGGGAGCAAGTTGGTGCCCACCCCTTGCCATGATGTTCTTCTAGAAGGCAGGGCGGAAAACATCCAGTGGCCCAGTCCTTTGGCCAATGTCAGACACCAGAGGGTGCTTCTTTTCAGTGCTGGAATCTCAGGGCACTTGCACCTGTGTACAGTGGTACCTTGGGTTACATACGCTTCAGGTTACATACGCTTCAGGTTACAGACGCCACTAACCCAGAACTAGTACCTCAGGTTAAGAACTTTGCTTCAGGATGAGAACAGAAATCGTGCCCCGGCTGCGCGGCAGCAGCGGGAGGCCCCATTAGCTAAAGTGGTGCTTCAGGTTAAGAACAGTTTCAGGTTAAGAACGGACCTCCGGAACAAATTAAGTACTTAACCCGAGGTACCACTGTATTCTTTAATGTACAAAAATGTCCCATGGAACTCAAGGGAGATTACATGCAGAGGATTGTACTGATTAAGTTGCTTAATATATTCAGTTTTACTAAAATGACTTTAAATGTTGAACAACCTTTTCACATTTATAACAGGCCATTGAGCATGCTGCGTGATTGACTTCTATTTAACATTCCTAATGCACTGCTGCTTAACACACCTAAGGAACATTTACCCATTTAATTGGCAGGTGTATTTACATGTATCATTTCCCAAAATTCATAAAAATACCAAGTTCATTTATTCAGCTATAGATATATGAACACATCAATACATAATAGTATACTTTGTAGATAGTCTACATGCTCTCTTTGGCTATAACCTATTTTAGTAATTATATTAACTGGTTGGTATGTATCATTGTTTAGGAAAGGTATGACATACCAGTGGGATGGGAAATTTGATTTAAATTAATGATTTAAATTGTAGGGTGTGTGTTTTTTAACTCAACAAGAGAAAGGCCAATATAAATCATTGGTTTAATTCAAGTTTCTCATTATACTTCAAACCTTCCCTAAACAATTACCCATATTCCCTCAATTCTAATGAACCCACCTTGCCTTCTTAAAGTATCAGCCACCCTCCTAAGTTAAATGACTACCAAAAGACAATGAAATTGTCTGTGCCATTAGGCTCAAAGCAGTTTTCAGTGAGAAAACATTTTTTAAGCCTGTGAAGAATGCACAAAATGGACATTTTGGATATCAGTTTGATGGACACTTTATTTTATTATACACAGGGAATGAGGAAACCAGTTTTATCTGCTTTTGCCCTGCTTTACCAGAAAGCCATTAGGAAACCAAATATTATATAGATGCAATTTCAGGGTAAATCAATGGTTTTGTGACATTTGCCATAATTATTTCTGCCAATACTATCTTCCTCCTCAGCTTTCCCCTCTGCTCCCCAAAAACCTCCTTGTAATTGTACGGCGATTTTCTCCTGGAAATACTTCTCGTAAATATCTGTCCGTTTGGGGATTAGAGGATGAGGAGAGGTGGTTGCACGTTTAATTAAACCATATTGCTTCATGTTTCAGGGCTAGATCATGGAACCACTTTCCCATCCATTAGTCATATGATCCTTTTTGCCGCTGATATGAGTAATTCATGTTACTTCAAGCCTAATGAGAACAATTGTCAGCGCTGGGTCTTTTTTGCATTCTTGCAATTAAAGTAACAGGCTTTTACTTAATTGCTTTATATGACTCAGTCATGTCTTCTAGAAAGGAGCGTAGGATCGTGTTGTCGTGAGCAAGCTTTTGACTTCCCTAGGAACACTTCAACAGATTAGTTGTCAGGAAAGCCTACTACGG